GGATGGTTTGGTATTTCAGCAGAGCCTCTGCATAACCGTCGGCCTTCGCACGCACAGTCGGCTTCATGATGTCTTTCTCGCTCAGGGCCTTGAGTGTAACAACAAGATCAATGTAAAGAAATTCTTCTGGGTCCCCAAATTTCCCAAACACTTTTATAAGCGCTTAGCGCAGCGTCTTTGGCCCACCATCGGGTTTCAAGCCTGATTCGGTGGAGCACTCCACCTGATGATACTTAAGCTTCGTTTAGCCGTAGTCACGTGACGTAGGTGTTTTGAATCACGCTTCGGATCAGTGTTTCGAATCATCTGCGCTTCGGGATCTCGCAAAGCTTCGAAACGTCTGTTTCGCGTCAGTCATCCCTAAAAATATCCCGTATTTTTACGCTCTGGCTGTGTTAACTGACTCAGAAAACGCAACTATCTGTGTCTGTAGAACACTCTTAATAATATTTTAAGATATTTTGGAGATATTATGTAGTGTGTAGGCTACATGGAAGCATACATTTCAAGCAAATTCATGATAGATGTTTGGGTAAATATACAGGAATTATTTATGGTTCAATATTCATGTACACATCAGCCTCTCCGCCACTGCATGCATAGGCTATCTATGTTCAATTTCCTGTATGTTTACATGAAGAGGTTTCAATGAAGTCGCTGTATAATGTGACTTGGCACTAAGTGTTTCACTCGAGGCTGAGAGTTTCTGCTCACGTCTGTGTGCACTGACTGCACTCACTGTCTCAAGGCCCATCTGTCCACTTCTCAGATCCTGCCACGCACACCTCCACAGCACAGTTTTCATCTGCGTTCATCACACTGTGGCTCGTCAGCATACTTCTGATGAAGAAAACAGTGAGAGGTCAGGGATCTCATTAAACCACTGCTTTGATGAAGACGGCTGAACTGACTTCCCTCTTGTTGGGGAATTTTCCACAGTTTATTTTAGGCTACCACAACAGGCCATATAGATACACATCTACGTGTGTGTTTATATACAAGAAATTAATAAATAAAAAATTAAATGTAAAGATGAATACTTGATAAATTTATATTATATTATATATATATATATATATATATATATATATATATATATATATTATATATACAGTATATGCTATATACAGTATATATATATATATATATACATTTTATTGTGATTATCTGTATAAATATAATGCATACATAGTATATAGTGTTAATATTATTTATATATTATTTACAGTAATGACAGCTTATTTATTATTTTATTTTATGAATTATTTATTTATTTATTATTTAATTGGGATTAGTAGGTAAATTGTTACAATGCAAAAACAATGTGCTGGCACTAAAGCTTAATTTTATATAATTATTTAGTTAATAATTTGTAATTGTAATTTTATAATTAAAAGTTTTAATTTGATTTTGATAATTTGACATCTTGACTAAGGCCGCGGGGGCCGCCATTGTAGCAAACCTTCACCTGCTGTTAGCATTCCATTGACTCCCATTCATTTTGGCATCACTTTGACAGCGAATAACTTTACATCTGAGGCATCCAAAGACTCCATTTGTCCATTGTTTATTTCTAAAGAAACACGACAATGTATAAAAGGCTCTATTACTTTGTATCTTACAGTACGTTTTGGCCCCGTAGAAGCCGTTTTTGTAAAAATAGGCATAACCACGCAACTCTCTGTTGCACATTAGAGAAATTACCATATAGACAGGAGGAGAAGCTCGCAGGCAATCAATCTTTTACTGTCAATGAGGCAGTCGGGTGGACATGTTGGCATAAAGTCAAGGGAGAAGCCCATAGATAGAGGGTCAATAAAAGCAACGGGTTGCTCGCGTCACATCTACATCGTCAAGCTCAGTTTGAGCCTGTGCAGTTCGCTCAGCCATCAGGAAGTGAGAGCTTCTAATTTGCTTCATTTTTCTCCGTTGAAGTCTATGGGGTCGCTGTGTCCATTTCTTTTACTGTCTATGCGTCTATGATCATAACTATGCCAAAATGGGCACTCACTTGACGTTAAGCATTTTCTGGTGCATGCCATAATGTGATATCTAAGAACCTAAAACCCTGTTTCTCCCAGTTGACACGGTAACACATAACCGGCATTATCAGAAATCTCCACCTTGGCTGGAGTTTTTAGAAATAATTGTTTTCTGGGAAAAAAATTATTTATTTAATTTTGATAGAAAATGCCTTCCATAATTGCTAGCCTAGTGATAATTTGTGTATAGACCATTTCACAAGATGTAAACAACACTGGTCCAGAAGCACTTCCTGTTTCAGTTTGTAGCTGTTTTCTTTATTTCACATGTAAAGAAAACATCTCAAAGATGTTTGTTTAACTTTTTGATTCAGTTTTATATGTTCTGTTGGTTGTATTTTATCCCAGCTTTTATGTAGTGTTAAAAAACTGAAACAGGAAGTGCTTCTGGACCAGTGTTGTTTACATCTTGTGAAATGGTCTATACTGATGTTTTGAAGATGCTGGAAAATTTGGTGAAACACAAAAAAGTGAAAGAAAATAAATATTACAAGATATTTACATTAAATATAAGACTGTCTTCATTTAGATTTATTGCTGAAAATGAAGGACACAGAGGCGACGCAGTGTCAAAGTGCTTTGTCGCCACCACTGGTCAAATTATGTACTGCAAAATGACACCAGACACCGCTTGAGGTCTTACCGTTTGATGAAAAATATGTCCTTTACTCACTAAATGTGCCTCTGTAAACAGCGGCAACCGGGGGTGGTAAGTTAATTGCAAGGTTCAGTCAAGGTTATCGATGTTTAGATCTCTCCAGCTATTGTGTGTTTGAAATTGACTTAATTATACAACTGATTAACTGGAGGAGCCCATTGTAAATAGTTCATCGCTTGTAACAGACTAAAGTCCTTCGTCTCTGCTTGTTTCTGCTGCCTTTGAAGTCCGGTGATATTTTTTTAGACTTTGAAGTATATTCCGTAGCCTCGGAGTAAAACAGCTCATCGTTAGCTTGTGCCTTGTTTACTTCGTTTTCTCTTGCTTCGACCGGATAATTTATTTGGGCAAATATCATTTTCATGTGTTTAATGTTTATGCGTATTTACTGTGCAGAGAAATGAAATCTTCTTCGGCATAGGCAATTGACAGAGTTTTCTATTTAGGGTAGGCCTTCAACTTAGACTTTATATATGATGTCCTTAAAGGGATAGTTCACCCAGAAATGAAAATTCTTTCATCATTTACTCACCTTCAAGTTGTTCCAAACCTCTATGTGTTTATTTGTTCTGCTGAACACAAAGGAGGATATTTGGAAGAATGTTTTAATCAAACAGATCTCATTCCCCATTGACTTCCATAGTAGGAAAAAAAATACATATATGGAAGTCAATGGGGATTGAGATCTGTTTGATTAAAACATTCTTCCAAATATCTTCGTTTTCAGCAGAACAAATAAACACATAGGGCCTAGAGGTTTGGAACAACTTGATGGTGAGTAAATACTGACAGAATTTTCATTTTTAGGTGAACCATCCCTTTAATGTCCTTTTTTGTAGCCTATACTCGGGCGCGTTGAGTATACTAAAAATGACTACATAAAGTCTACACAAAGTTGTCATTCACAATAATATTGTAACTTGCTTACACTGACTCAGTTCCAATTCAAATCCAAAAAAAAAAAAATACTTTATATTTTTTAACATTTAATTTAAATCTCCATTATTGCTATTTCTTATATCCTATTTCTTTGTCAATATTGTTGAGGTTAAAATCTAAATTTTTCCCTGGTTGAAGGATTATAGTGGCATCCGTTATTTTAGTAGCTGTGGTCATCAGTTATCAAATCTATGGAATCAACTGCGTCCTAATGTAAAGTTGAACAATTTCATTGGAGAAAAGGTTTTGGTTTGATCAAATGGCATGTCGGAGGTTGCTTTACACAGCCTTTTGTATCAAAACGTAAATACTGTTTATTCATGTAAACAAAACAATGCTGTTTTGCCACTGGGGGTCAGTATGATCTCACTTTCGGACCAGCCGAGACTAACTTCTTGAAAGGTCTATGAATCTGAATTGAGAACCAAATTCTATTACTATTTTCACCTTATCTTTTTATGGCAGGAATAGTTATAGTATACAAGTGTGCATTGCATTTCTGAATTCAGCATAAATGAGAGAAGCTGAGATGGGATTCTCATGCCAAAATCATAGCCTTAACCAGTCTAGTGCTCCCAATAATAAACTCTATTCCGCTTCAGTGACCTCAAATAACTTTAGTCAAGGGTGTCTGATGTTTTTAAGGGACTACTGAAAATCTTAATTTGGTCTCATACCAGCCATCAGATATAACTCCTTCAGGAGTAGCATCTGGGTCTCACTGAAAGAAATAGCAATGCTCAATGATCAAGAGAAATGTAGTCTTTTGTTGCTAGATGGCTAAGGCCATTGATGTGAGAGGCATTGAACTCTGTCTGGCACCCAGATTACAGCGTCGCTGCTGCTCGGGGTTTCCAGTGAGCACTTCAACTGAATGAGAGACCCAGAGACTGAGACAACAGCGGCGTTCCCACCAGGTTACGCAAGGACATGTTTTCTCCAGCTTCACTCATTAGAACATTTTCACAAGCACCCCGCGGGTTTGGCGAGAGGTTTCAGGGGGTCGATTTAATTAAAACCACAGTCGACGGATTTGTACATTCACAGCTTTTAGTAAACGCTTTTAGAGGACTTTTTTTTTTCTCATCCTCTCCAATTCCCACCCTTAATAAACGAGGACTTTGAACATTTGGGATGTGCATAACACCATACCTTTTGTCTCCTTTTAGACAATCAGATATTGGCTTTTGGACAGCTCGTAAGCACATCCAACACTTACGAAGATCACGACCCCAAAAAAGGCAGAAAACCTGTGACGGTCACCACTGACAAGCCACTTTTATGGAGCATGGGAATTAAACGACTGTGAATGAAGCACTGGAGCACCAAGCCTTTAAAAAGTGCCTTTTTTTCCAGCACCAACAACCTTTTATTAATGAAGACAATGAGTAGTGTAACCTTTGATTTATTAACAGCCAAATATAAATGTTAACATGCACAAAAAGCATGATTTATACAAATGTTTGCGTTCAGTCCATCATCGTTTCCGGCAGCCGCAGGTCTGTTTGGCTTCACAGCTGATTCAACCACCACTGTTAACAAGAGAAACAACAATCCTGATTTAATCACTGAGTCAATCAAAGGCTGAATGTAACAAAGCATCAGATCAAAAGGCAATTTGCACATGAACTGTAATGCTCTGTAGTAAATTACATGTTGGGAGTTTAATGATTTTTGTAACTAACTATTTTTCACAATTGTAGCAATAAAAGTCTAAATTGTACTGGTAATTGTGATTTGTTTGTTTTTTTTACTTACACAATGATGTTGTTGATGGGGATGTGGATGAGTTTGACAAAGAATCCAATGAAGCCCATGATGGCAAATCCAATTGCTGTTGCCATGGCAATCTTTTGGAATTCTATACAGCAAGGGAAACAAATAAATTCAGCTTTTCATAATTAAAAATGTGTGTATATATATATATATATGGAAAGGCCAGAATTGAATAGTTAAATTTTTTTTAAATTAACATTGTAATTTCCTTTTATATTATTATTAATCTGTAGCAGAAACAAGCTTTCCCCTTAAAACCCTCTGCATGTACAATTTTCTTATTATCTTCACTTATTTATTTTTTTTGCCCGGTTTTACAGACGAAGCTGAAGCCTAATCCCAAATAAAATACATATTTGAACTGTACAGTCTAAACTCAAAATAACTTGCACTGGCTTTTTTTTACAACATTAGTGCCATTGTTTGCTTCAATATGCACACCAGTAATGTTTTTTTCTAAGGCACGTTTAAAAAAAAAATTAAAGTAATTTAACATCTTATTTTAACTAAAACCTAATCATGGCTTAATCGACTCAATTTCTTTGAAACCAGACTTTGTGTTTAGTTCTAGCATAAATTATCCAGATTGTTTTATGCTTATCAAATCTTTGAATTTTAAAAGACAAATGGACTGGACATGCCTTTTCTATCTGGCTTTGTGCATCTTTTGACGAGTCTGATGGAGTCCTTGACGAACTGCCTGCTGGGCTCCACGAACTGCATGACCTGATCCATCCTGAAGTGATGCTGAAAACAGAACAGAGAATTACACATCTGTAAAAGACAAACCCTTAACATGCTCATCAGAGAACAGAACAAGCATAAGCAGACCACAATCACATATCTGCACTGCTACATCAACATCTCACATAAACCACTATGTTAGACAAGTTTCACGACGTATAAATGGATTTTTTAAAGTCATTTAACGTTAGTTGATCCTAGACCCAGGAACCCTCCACCCCGAAACCCAAGTACATGAATCACACGATCTGAAAACCTCCGTTAGTTGATCAAATATATTCTGAAACCAGTTGTTAATCCCTTAAATACGTCAACTAACCACAAGTCTTTAATATCCGAATTGCATTACGTTATGTAACGTTAGCACGACTTGCTAACACAATTAGCCTGAACGCTGAGGGCTTGTTTACTCGGATAAAAATGGCACTGAATGATTTTAAAATTGATCTAATATAACATACGCAACAAAAAGTGAAGTATTTTGAAACTCAGATCAAGAAAGTGTGATCGTATGTGATCAGTCAGAAACAGTGTTTACCCTGATACTCAACGATCACATCAGACACGTCCTCAGTAATGACACATAACTATGTATTGCCTTATTTTAAAAGCTAAAGTCTGTACTTAATACCAATATAGATTTCTAAAGACCCAATGTAGACAAAAATACACTTACCTGTGTTAATAAATCAAAGGATACCGTAGTAGTTCAACTGGACGTGACACACTGATTCCGCTGTGCGTTACGCCACGTAGTTTTAACTGAGGAAAGACTGACGCAGCGCTAAGAGCGACGCATGCGCACTAGCTCACAACTCTTGCGCACAATGACGTTCTCACTGCCATCTAGCGACTGGAGTTTAGATCGCAGAGACTCGTCCACATCATCATTATTGCAGAGAAGACAAACAAGCATTGTGTACTGTAGACGTTGTCATCTAGCCATCGGTCTGTCTGTGAGGATTGTTCCTGGAATTTGCAAACAGTTTATGTAAACAATTTACATTTTCATTGCTGTTGATGTTTGTTTTTTTTAATTCCTAATACATTATTAAAAATCAATTAGGCCTATCTGTTCAAATAATTTAGGCACAATGGTCCTGAGCTATAATAAGAACAACAGTTTAATTTATATTAACATTAACAAAAATGTATAAATAATGTAAAACATGTGGGCTATTGCTCATTGTTTTCATTAAACCGTGAAAATGGAATTTTGTTTCATTTACGATCACTGAGAAATGTTCTATTATTTAAAATGCAAAAAAAAAAAAACCTTTTATTTTCAAGGTGAAAATGATTCATTTGCATGGATCCACGCCGAAGAAAACGTCTTGTCACGTTTTTAATGAAGCAGCCGAATGTGTAAAATGTCTATTTTTCCGGGGTTTTTTTTTCTATTTTACCTAGTTCCATTGCTTAGCAACGGGAAGAAACTCTTGTAACTTCAGTGCCCAACCCGTATCACGACAAGGCGTGAAATAATCACGTTGGTCCACTTTGGAAAACGTGTAGATGTCACGGTTTAGTTTAAACTCAAAACCACAAATAGGGCTATACTGCCCTCTTGTGTCAAATTATATTTCTATATTTATTTTTCCAACAAATAAAGCCAAACCTGCAATAAAACCCCGTCCAAAATACCCTTGAACTCAACAGATGCAGTGGCTCAGTTGATAAAGCGTTGGGCTTTAATCAAGAAGACCTGATTCAATTCCCATACTTGCGTTAAATTGTTGTGATTATATCAAACAAAGTGGCCTAAACAATATTTCTTCAACCCGGTATCGTGACGTGAAATAATCACGTTGGTCCACTTTTGAAAACGTGTAGATGTCACGGTTTAAACCCCCTCAAACGTGAAACTTACACTTAAAACTTACCATCACGACCTATTGGTTTTCATTAAACCGAGAAAAATGGAATTTTCTTTTATTGACGATCACTGAGAAATGGTCTAATATTTAAAATGCAAAAAACATTTATTATTTTCAAGGTGAACAGGATTCATTTGCCTCGATCCACGCTGACAAAAACGTCTAAATGTCACATTTTTAATGAAGCAGCCTCAATAGTCAATGCGAATTGGGAGCAGCATTTGCGTTCCCGCACAAACCTTTTGAGTTCAACAGAGCCCTAAAGAGGATATGTTGGTGGAAAAAATATTATGGTTGTGTCCGAAATAGTATACTTGCCTATAAAGCCGAAAAACAGTGTGTGACAAAACATGTAGCCTATGCCCGAAGATACAGTACTCTCTACAAGTATGCAAATGACCTAAAACTTCCAGCGAGATTCTGAAGTGTGCATATGAATACATATCTCATGATTTATGAATGGCCAACACATTCTCACTCCCAAGGCGTCACCTAACTGACGCCTTGGGAAGCATTTGACCATGCTTCAATATCTGACGCTTTAGGCGCCCTTTAGCGTCAGTTAGATGACGCCCTAGGATCGCGTGTACCCTACCCCCACCCATACCTAGCCGCGTCCTCTAACTGACGCTTTCCTTTAGCGTCAGTTAGATGACGCCGTAGGATCGCGTCATGTAAGTGACGCTAAAGGGCGCCTAAAACGTCAAATATTGAAGCATGGTCAAAGGTGACGCCTTGGGGTGAGAATGGGCTGGAATGGCAGTGAAGAGACTGGTTTAGTTCACCCAAAAAATGAAAATTCTATCATCATTTACTCACCCTCATGTTCCAAACCTCTATGTGTTTATCTGTTCTGCTGAACACAAATGAAGATATTTGGAAGAATGTTTTAATCAAACAGATCTCAATCCCCATTGACTTCCATAGTAGAAAAAAATACATACTATAGTCAATGGGGATTGAGATCTGTTGATAATGACAGCATGGTAATTGTAGTAGCTACACCCAGACTAACTACACACTCATACTCAGGGTCGGCGCTATGGTGGGGCATTTGAGGGCCGTGCCCCCCCTAGCGCTCATTGATGCCCCTCCTACCACAGTTTCTAAATCATAAATCAGATGTAGGCTATACAATACCAAATGTTTAGCAATCTATTTAAATAGTACATTGTGTTTAATTTGTTGTCTAAGTGGATCTAATATGTGTTGGTGCCAAGAATTTTCACATGAAGAAATAGATATATCCAATCCGACTTTTCATTGTAAGTGCTGTAGTGGTCCAGTGGTAAAACCTTAGACTGGGGTGCTAGAGATTTTGGGTCCTAACCCACACTCGCATAATTATTTTTTTCCCCCATCATTAAAACCGATTATGTTTATCAGTGGTTGTCAAGCAGGGACATGTTTGAGTGCATTTTACTTTGGATTTCACCGGTACGAATAGAGATTTCGCCGCAACAGATCAAGCGCGCGTCCGTGTGAAGATGTTTATTGTGGCAGCGCGAGCCACAAGAGAACACTTCAGCACCACAGACCCAGTCACCGAGCACTTTGATCACTTGATTTAAAAACCAACACATTTCAGCGTGCTATATCGCCTCTTATTTAACAAATGAATGCTCTGCTAGGTAACCGGATATGTTTTATTTATTTGTATTGGTACATCCGTGCCGCGAGATCGAGATGTATAAAAGTGCTGGGACAACATCGACCCTGGCAAAAAGTGGTGGGGAAATTCGCAAATAATAATTATAAATAATAATTATAATAATAAAAGGTGTTTCGTTTTTTTTTTTTTTTTTTTTTTTTGCGTCACAATATTTCTTAAACGGCAGTGCCCCCCCGCTGATGACCCAATGCCCCTCCAGTAGATCTGCTCTGGCGCCGACTCTGCTCATACTATATAGAAAATGGCATAAGCTGATAAGTCTTTTACTCATTTTGTTGCGATCACATCATTATCTTTATGGCACAGCTGATTGGTTGCTGTTGCATCAGTGGCCAATAAGCTGCAGCTCACACTTCCAAACAAATACCAGGGCGTTGCTGGTAGGAGTATGCAGCATCGTCCACCTTCCCCAGCTCCACCTGTATAGATCTGCTACGGGGGTTAAATCATGTATTCTACATGTGCAGCAGCAGATCTATTCCGCCATGACCAAATACATTAACATTGTCATTGTCATATCCATTACCATGCCAATCTCTATAGCCGTAACCGAGATGTCATGACAGAACTGTGGATATTACAATAGCTCTTTAGCAAAACAAACAAACTAAACCAAAAGCAAATTCATAAAATAAAAGGATTTAATAGACCAAAATACATTTAATGTACTATTGACATTATAACAGCACAGCCAATGGCATTATAAAAAGAGATTACAATGTACAATATCAAACAGTGCTGATTCAGTCATGCATTGTATGAATACTACAGTTTCCATTATCTATGACATTAGTACAAAAGCTTTCATTTCCGCTTGTATTAGAGTGTCACTGAGAGGAGCGCTCGATCAGTCCCATGTAATGCTGAGCATCTGACAGCTGAGTTCCCAGAGTTTCTGAGCCATTTCATCATCTGAAGCTTCTCTCGAACACAGTGCTGGGGCGCAGTCACTGGAAAACAAAGTTCCTCAGGTTTAGTGAACATTAATACAGCTATAATAATATCTATTGCATGTTTAACCTAAACACATTTTATTATCTTACAAATCTAATGCAAATGAATATCATGTACCTGTAATATCTTCCACACTCATTGTCCAGGTCTGGCTCCACAGCACAGTAGATGGTGGTCTGCGCCCCCTGAACAGTGGTCTTGGTGAAGGGGCTGAAGACCTTGACTGCGATCTGCACAGGCTTGCCAAGGTTCCTAAACAGCTCTGACTGCACCACACCAGGATGGAGTGAGTACACATTCACACCACTGCCTAGGAACATGACCGTATTTCATTATAAGAGTTCAATGTATTTCAATGATTAATACAGTAGGGCTTTCTTTTTTGGTACTGCTATGAACAGAATTGTTTTAATCCTTGGATAGCCTACTTGAAAATTATATTTTTATTGCCTGCATGTAAACCAAAAGAAATGGACACAGCGACCCCATAGATTTCAATGGAGAAAAGTGAAGCCAATTAGAAGCATTCACTTCCTGATAACTGAGCGTAATGCACAGTCTTTTTGAGACAGTTTGAGGCCTGTGTTCTGTGTTTGTGTTCTTCTCAAAAAGTCTTAGTAGCTGACTGTGCCAAGAGGAATCTGAATCATTCCCTTCCAAATCTTGCAGAGACAGGAGGTGTCCATGAGCTAGCAGCAGGATCAACTTTATGACTCTCTATGGGTTTCTCCCTTGATTTTATTCCTCCATGTCCCCCCAATTGCCTCATAAACAAGTCTGGGTTTTCCCATACTGCCTTAACGCAGCGCGATTCAATTCACGCTGAAAGTCTGGATACCATGGCCAGATTTTTCGCCTCATTTAGGGAACCAATCACAGAACGGGGAGGGAGCAGCAAGACGATGACGATCTATCCCTCACACCGACGCAGTTTGTATATATCTATGGATTCAACATGGTAGCAGACGCGAAGCTACCTTTTGATGCAGCATTAGATATTGTTTTACAACGCATTCTCACCCCAAGACGTCACTTGACCATGCTTCAATATTTGACGTTTTAGGCGCCCTTTAGGCGTCACTTACATGACGCGATCCTACGGCATCATCTAACTGACGCTAAAGGAAAGCGTCTGTTAGAGGACGCGGTTAGGTTTAGGTGGGGGGTGGGGGTAGGGTACACGCGATCCTAGGGCGTCATCTAACTGACGCTAAAGGGCGCCTAAAGCGTCAGATATTGAAGCATGGTCAAATGCTTCCCATGGCGTCAGTTAGGTGACGCCTTGGGGTGAGAATGGGCTGTGTTTTAAGTACTAGTTTAGAATGCAAGTTTATTTTGAAAAAAGAGCCGTTTTTGGCGTTAAACTTCGCGAGACCCCAGTCGTTATTGTTGTCTCGCAAATGGGCTTTATGCCCAGCTGAACTACTTCCTGAACTTCAGCCAGCTCCTTGTTTCCTGTCTGCAGTTATTGGCCAAATTGATTAATTCAGGTGTACCTGACTTCAGTAGTCATGGCAACAATAATCAGATACACCTGAATTAATCAATTTGGCCAATAATGGCAGACAGGAAACAAGGAGCTGGCTGAAGTTCAGGAAGTAGTTCAGCTGGGCATAAAGCCAATTAATCGCCCTAATGGAGGACCAGTACAGGAGGCGGTCAACCTTGGAATATCTGCCGCTCAGCTGTGTCCCGAGAAAGAAAATGCGATAAAGAATTGTCGATACCAACTTCTGTTCGGCAGTCCCGAGGTCTGGATGAGAGCAAAGTGGCAAGACATGTTAGCCACGGAGTTGTATAGTACCTGCTAGGCATCGTCTTCGACGAAGTCCTTTAACTTATAAGTGGTAAGTGATATTTATTAATATCATATTGTCATTATCCCTGTAGACTACCTACTGTGGTTGTCACAGTGCCACACGTACCCGATTAAAGTTGTTGACTTTAGTCATTAAATTAAATTTTTATTTTTTTTTAACTTGTGAAGTACAAGCGCAAACAATTTCCAATGCAAACAACAACTTCAACTTCTATGTTAAACTGTACTTAATAATACTTTTTCTAATTGAAACGATTGGCTACAAGCGCATTTGATAGACATTCTTAGCACCCAATAAACGGCGCCGGGCATTCGTAAACCACGCCTCAAATACGAGAAAATGTGCATGTGGTTCCCAGACCCAAGTCTCAATGAGAATTGGGTCTGGCATTAGCCAGGCTACTCATAAACAGTAAAAGATTGCCTGCGAGCTTCTCCTCCTACATCTATACGGTAATTTCTCTACTGTGTGACAGAGAGTCGCGTGGTTATGACGCAAACGTTTGTAATGTAATGGAGTATATAATAGTATATATAGTAATAATACAAAGTAATGGAGCCTTTTATACATTGTCGTGTTTCTTTAGAAATAAATAATGGACAAATGGAGTCTTTGAACGCCTCGGATGTAAAGTTATTCGCTCAGTCAAAGTGACGCCAAAATGAACGGTGGAGTCGATGGAATTCTAACAGCAGGTGAAGGCTTGCTACAATGGTTGATGGATAACCCCCTTGATGTAAACTACAAACACACAAATTTGTAAAACATTTTGTCATCTACTGGTATGGCCAGCATAATACAGCGTTTTTATTCGTTTTTATGGATCCATGTGAACGGGGATCATTTCGAATTTGTTGCCGTTAAAAAAAAAACGCACAGGAAAAAACGTTTCTGTAGAGTGACATTTTCATGATACTCTAACCATCTGATTGACACATGTTCAAAAACGTGATTATTGCCACAGTACATAATCTAGAAAACCATGGTATCCGAAAAAAATACATGGCGATACCATGGTATTTTTTCATGACACTTTGTTCTTTCACAACCTGTTTTTGTTTCACTAAAATGTTTGGATCATGTTTAGTCTAGCATTGATAGCCTTGCTATGAAGGTCACATACCCTGCAGTCTTTTAGCCAAGGAGCGTGTGCAGAGGATGTTAGCTAGCTTGCTCTGGCCGTAAGCCCTCCGCGGAGAGTAACCCTTCTCACTGTTTATGTCATCCAGACGGATGCTGCCCCACGTATGGGCCACAGAAGCCACGTTTATAATCCTGGAGGGGGTTGATTTCTTGAGGAGGTCCAGCAGAAGGTAGGTGAGTAGAAAATGACCTGTTGGCAGTTTGAAGATAAAAATAGTCTGGGGTTATACCTTTCATTGTCCCCCATGTCCTGTTGATGCGTCATTTGTCTATTACTCAATAAATGCATGGAAGTGGATGTATATGGAAAGGATGTGTACTGTATGTGAGTATTTAGGTTCCTACAGGAAGCCAGCTTGGCCTGATGAACGACTAAACAGCACACACTGTCAATTTACAGGGTCACTACTCCACACTAGAATTAAGTCTGAGACTTCCTCTGTGAAACAAGGTTGCCTTTTACATAGGGGTATTCTATAACCAAATACAATTTGTGCTTAATTTAAAAGAAGTCGCTTTTATTGACTACTTGGTTTACTGGTCAGAAAGAGTAACATTATGGATTAGAGACAGGAAATCTAATTTTACTAATAGTCTTATTTTTTCCTGAGTCACAATGAGCGTTTTACATCTACAAAACACGTGTTGATAATTAGGCTTTTTGAAACTGCTGCAGATATTTGTAAAATTGCCTTTTCTGTGTCCTTGTTCCTGCTTTTGGTTTGTCTCCTTGGCTTCAGGATGTTTGATTTACTTGGTCTATTTAAACTATCTTTTGTTCAGTTCTTGGACCGTTCACGTCCATGTGTTTGATACTAGTTCTGTTCATAAGTTATTTTTGAGAAATCCTGAGTATTTTATTATCTTTGAATTGTGTTATTAAATCTGCACTGCTGTGCTTAAATCCATCTCTTATCTCACCTGCTGCAACCCTCAATTTGTGACAATAACACTGTAGGCTACCATGTAGAGAGTGTATGCATGTACATAAAGATAGCAAAGTCTTCACCTAAATGGTTTACACCAAACTGCATCTCGAAGCCATCTGCAGTTTTTGAATATGGGCACATCATGATTCCAGCATTGTTGATCAGGATGTTAACTTGCTCCTCCTCTAAAATACAAAAAAAAAAAAATTATATATAAATGAATAAAGACCCATTAAATTGCATAAATATTATATTAATATATTAATACTATTCATATAAATGTGTAATCTTGATATAAATACAATAATTATAATAATGTCCCTCTCTCCAAGGAAATACACACATAACAATGCATTTAAAGTAATAGATGTCTTACGCACCCTTGTTTATGAGTTCGGCAAATGCTCTGATGGATTTGGTATCGGATAAATCAAGTTTTTTCACCACAATGTTTTGGTTTCCAGAATCTTCCATTAATTCTCCTCTGGCGGACTCTGCTTTTTCCAGGTCTCGACAGGCCATGATGACCCGAGCCCCTGAGGACATCATAAAGAAGCTGACAGAAATGTGCTTTCCAGTGCAAAAAGCCACAAAACAGAGTAGCTATCCTTCACGGATCTGAAATCACTCTGTTTATATATTCCAGCAAACGTCCTTGCTGTGGAATGTCCTTGCATAATAATTCATTCGGTGTTAAACAGGGATGTAAGGCTGATGAGCTAACACAATAGCTGTTTGCCTGGTAATACTGTTCAGAACGCTTATTATTCTATTCAGAGCAATTTGGCTGGCGAGCATCAGAGTTTCTTTGTTGGAATTCAGAGGGTCCATGTGGGAAAGTGTACAGTTTTACATCTCTTTGGCAGATAGTATTGCAATCCTGATGTTTATTTATCAGCATACGTTCAAAGCTTCCAAGAGCCTGCCATTTATTACAAGATGAAGTTTTGCCGTTTTAATTGCATCCCATTTGACATTAGGACACTGAGAATGATCTGCCCTCGCAGTTGTTATAATAATCCCAGATCATGATGATTTTAGACAATATCTTAAAGAGAAATACGGATCCAAAATGGTTTTGTCAATGGCAATAATAGTGCAAATACAGTGGGATAGATTGTAATTATTCCAGCTAACCTCCCCATATACCCCACTTCTAATTAGAGTGGCATCACACATGGCATGGTTTTGTCTCCCGTTGGCAGTCGATGCTGTTCACAGTATGTGCTTCGAACAGAACAAATCAAATCATTCAGAGCATTTTTAAGGTTTTCCTTTTAAGATTGAGTTGAGATGTATGTCCTGAAAACTAAAATGAGGTCTGTTAGTACCTTACCTCTTCTGGCAAGGTCTCTCGCTGTCTCTTTGCCTATGCCTGTATTAGCTCCGGTGATTATGACTGTTTTATTATCAAGACGTACAGAAGAGCTCCACTGACCACAGAAGAAATTTCTGGAATTGATTACAGAGCAAATGTTTATATATCATAGTGAATACCTAAAGTGAAGTAGTAGGTGAGAGTGGGGCTAGTTAGTAATGCACACTGTACAACATTATATGATCAACACGTTATGACAACTTTTTTTTACATTGTTTTAACTTAGCAATTTTCAACTTTTTTATGTTAATTATTTTTTAAGTGAGTTTAATGTACTAATGATGACTTAAACATCCATGTTGATTGTACTTAAATTTAAGGCCGATAAAAAGTTTAAGGTAGCCTACTTGAAAATGTAAAATATAACTTATCATGTAAAAACCTAACTTTCTGAAATATCAGACCGCTGTGTTGACCTATAAATATTGTAGCTACTTAATACTCTTAAAATATAACTTTAATTTAAGGTTTGAAACCAACATACAAACTCACTTTTAAGACGCTTTTGCTGAATGAGATGCAGCCCTCATGACAATTTTCTCGCGTGACAACTAGCCCCATTCTCTAAATGAAATCAGCTGGTATAGCTAATTCAGTACAGGCAATTTGCATTTAAATAATTATATTGTTTTAAAAAATACTGTTTAAGAAGACCGTTGTGTCCCATTTATCCAGTTATGAACACTTTGGCGAAAAGAAAATGTGTATCAATATAGTTTTTCAGACTCCGCGTTGCTTACCTTATTGAGTGCATTGTTCCAATATTGTCTGGTTCCCCTCAGCAGGCAGTAGTGCTCTACTCTAGAGTCCTGTGTAATTTATGAATGAGATATTACTATGCGGTCCGAATCCAAGCCCCTCCCGTCCAGGTCTCTGTCCTCTGGCCAATGAAACGCGACTGGGATCAATGTGGAGACCGTTCAGGTTCCCGCCGCTCGCAGGAATGCGCTCGCTGTGATGGCCTTGAACTCAGCTTAGTTGAATTGAATCTTTTTTGCAAGGTTGGACATTCCGCTAACGTCAGTACACACAGTAAAATTACGTCACCCACTTAAAAATGAGTCAAAATGTGCAAAAGCAGTGACCGCGTGTATCCACTAGATGTCCTTGTTGTGTCAGCCTGATGTTTCTCGCGAACTATTCGCAACACACTGAACATTATCTTACTGTACCTCAGAGAAGCAATGTAATTACATTTAAGAATAAGATACTTTATTAGTGACGGTAAATCGTTAGCCTAAATGAATATGAACGTTTTTGTATTTTGTTTTCTATCTGCTCTCGTTTGCAACTATCCTTACTAATTTCACTTAATATTAGATTACTTGACATTTTCTATCCAATCTAGCATAGCCAAGACATTTATATTCCATTAACACAGTAGGCTATTAATTATCTTTCGTTTAATTTTCTACTGTAAATTTTTCGACTTCCGTTTATTTTCATAGCCAGCCTATACCTATGTCTAATGTCAAATGACAATAAACTCACTTTAGCCATTATCTGCTTTTAATAAGTAAGTTACGCAATATGTTTCAATAATCACATAGCCTACCTTGCTGAAAAATACAGCATAAACCAGCAATGTAGGTCCAAGTTGGTTTATATTGGATTGAGCTGGAATAGTGCTAGTGCTGGGGCCGGTTGCACAGAATAGCCAATTTTAGATTAGACTGGTAATCAGGTTATCAGTCTCACTTATCAAATTCAAACTAGACAAATCTACCTTTTTATGTAACTAAATCTTTAAGACCAGTCTTGAAGAAAAAAAATAGATGATTGACTAGTCTAAAGGGCAAGTTTTTGGCCTATAGCTGGTGGACCAGCATAGTCATCCTGTTCTCAAGCAAATCTGAGCTGGTGTAGGCATAGCTGGTCCATCAACATTCCTGCTTGCCGAACCAGAAATCAGCGTCCTATGCTGGTCCCAGCATGCAAAACATAGTCTGCTTGATTTTTCAGCAGGGTCATTTTTCAGCTTTCAAATGTCAATAGGTCTACTCATTGTTTGTCTGAATTAATAACATCCAAAATATCACTAAATTAGTATAACATGAATACAGAGAGGGCTCAATTGGGCTGCTGTTGAAACTGGGTTGTAATAACTCATAAAAGGGCATTAGTATGAAATAAGGCTGAGGAGGAAGTCATATCTTCTCATTTCCAACGAATCCCCAGCAGATTGCAGCTGACAGTCCACAGTCTGCTCGCAGTGTTCAAGTCATCCGCAGCCCTGGAGCACGGGGTCACGGCACAGTCACTGTGAGAGATCATAAGACAAAATATTTTACTAAACAGCGTGAGGAAACTCAGTTAATTTGGTTACTGCCAAATTTAGCCTTCCTAACGCAAAATAAAAGCCATGTTGTGAACAATAGTGCTTGCTTATGGGGAAGATGATAATTGAGGTTATTATTTCATGAGTGCAACAACAGCTAGCATCAGCTATACTGTATTCTAGTTCTGACAAACCTGTAGTAGGTTCCAGTGGGTAGGTCAGGAGTAACGGCACAGTACAGAGTGGTATATGCGCCTTCTGCAGGGGTTTTTATCAGGAAACCAAATGTCTTCACACAGACCTGCAGAGTCTTCTTCAGATGCCTGGTGATCTCTGTCTTCACTAGGCCTGGATCCACAGCATAAACACTCACTCCCAGTGCTGCCACATAAACATCACTCTACATGAGTTCCAGTTAGAAGAATGAAAAGTGTGCAAGAACGCTCTTATTGCCTTAATGAAGAATGTTTGTGGGTAAAACATGGGACAGTCATGTTAGGATAGCATACTGATCAATTAGCAACACATTATTTGGAAGGTTTGCCCATCTCCCTGTGAAACTTTTGATCTCCTTTAAGGGATAGTTCAGCTTTCAGTCACCATTTAGTCACATACCCTGAAAATAAAAGGGTTGACATCTTGGACACTCATGCGCCATTCATGCAGAACCCATTTTTGTGCTTAAAATGTGACATGCAGGGCAGTGGAATGGAAAAAGTATTAAAGGTCTATGGGTAATTTTTTTTTAAAGTTGAACTTTTAGCTTAAACACTCGATTTTTTGAATGCTGTGTATCATGCATGAGAAGCTGCAATGGGTCAAGCATGTCCATATAGGGGTGTCTGTTTAGGGGCCATTCACACAATGCGTTTTTGCATTCCACTGTTTTCCATTGTCTCGTGCACAACACCAAAAGAAGTTCAACTTTTAAAGAACATGTCTCTTGCGTTTTTTGTTTGTTCCACTGACATGCATCTCACGTTTTTAACCACAAAAAGTATTTATATTGCAGTTGTGAGTTGCAATAGCGAGTTTAAAGCTGCGTCCTAATTCAGAGGCTGCATCCTTCTTCAAATGTGGCCAACAAATCCTTTGTTTCCCGTGCAATTAAGGAAATAACAGATTGATCCTGATGACAACAGTGTTTAACAATGATACTCAGAAAAATCGCTTACTGCACCTTTAAAACTTTCTATGTAAACGTTTTTTCTGTGTAAACGTTTTTTCAAAAAAGAGGCTTACTTTTGTTCTCCAGTTTCCCAAACCATTCGAAATAAATCCTAGATTTGATGTGGAATCTAATTTTCGGACCTATGTTTATGCATGATTACATGCTGGCTCTTACCTTCCACTCTCGTGGCCAGCTCTCGTGTGAAAAGTACGTTGGCCAGTTTGCTCTGTACGTAGGCCTTCATGGGATGATAGCCTTTCTCACTGTTCAGGTCCTCGAAGTGGATCTTTCCCATGGGGTGAACCATTGAGGAGACATTAATCACTCTAGAAGGAGCTGAATGCTTCAACAGATCCATTAGGAGGAATGTGAGAAAGAAATGTCCTGAAGAAGAAAAGGAGTCATACATCACATGTCAAGTGTGAACAAACTCTATAGCTGCTGAACAACAAATAAGGATTCTTTGATATTGTTTGAAAGAATGAGAACGACTAGTGCACTTCATCATACCTAAATGATTGACTCCAAACTGTGTCTCAAAGCCGTCTGCTGTTGTGGAATATGGGCAGAGTGCCACTCCAGCGTTATTAATCAGCAAATGAAGAGACTTTTCAGCTAAAATAAAAGAGAATGACGATTTTAAACGCCAGTTAAGAGTTCAATATTTACATACCATCATTTGAGAACAATTCTTCAACCATAACTTACTGTTGTAGATCAGTTCAGCAAAATCACAGATGGATTTAGTGTCGGCCAGGTCAAGTTTCCGCACCACCACGATGGCGTCGTCCACGTCTCTGCTGATGTCACTGGCGGCCTGCTCGGCCTTCTCCATGTCTCTGCAGGCCAGGATCACCCGCGCGCCTCGGGATTCATAACACACTTCGTTCCATTATTTGAAAACAACTCGTACATTCTTTTGAGCAATTTCAAGGGGTAAAAAAAGTCTGGATAGGCCTAAACATCAGATCAAATGGCTATGCTGTCAGATCTATTCTATTTAATCTGTCCCTCTAAAATGAAAGGAAGGCTCGATGTATTTTTGGCCACAGTACCCACCCCGCTTTGCCAGGTCCTTCGCCGTTTCTTTTCCAATCCCAGTGTTTGCTCCAGTCACTATAGCCGTTTTTCCATCTAACCGGATATCAGATGACCAGCTTTTGATGAAAAGCCCTCTGAAAATAATAATAACAAAAAAATGATAAGCAGCTACCCTTCAAAGACAGATGTCAGATGCAACCAGGAAAATATTAATATGTTTTTATATTTAATTTAATGTTATAGGCGTAGGCCTACTCGTATTTATAACAATTTAATTTATACCACTACTACTACTTGTCACGCTGCTGTGCAGGCAGAAGAGGACGAGGAGTCAGGATTCCAATGACAACAATATTTATTCCAAATACAGGGAGGAAGACAGGTTTCAGGAACACGCAGGGTAACATTCACGATGCATTCACAGGTACGTTCACATTGACCGACAAAGACAGACTGAAGGAGGGAGAACTAAATACACAGATGCATCAAACATAACAAGGTGGAAAACAGGTGTAACAGATGAACAGGACGCTGAACGGGAGGCTGATGAGGGAGTGAGTTCAGGTGTGCAGACGAGAGGATCATGGGACGTGTAGTGCTGAAGACAAGACAGACTGGTGCAGACGGAGGACTGTGACACTACTATTACTACTAATAATAATAATAATAATAATAACATTGTTATTAAAAATATTATAATAATTTGCTAATATTCCAAAATCCCTTGAGTTAATTACCTATACTGATGGTTTAAAATAAAATATTATAAAACTTATTATTATTAAAATAAATTATTTATGATTAAAAATAATATACATTTCAATATCTATTAATCAAGTTAAGTATACAGATTATTTAAAACAAGTACAAAAAATTCTCCTAATTTAATAACACTGATTGTTTAAAATTTAAATACATATTTTGTTATTATTAATAATAGTAATAATAAATGACAAAATACATTTTAATTTCTATTACTCAAGTTCATTTTACTGATTATTTAAAATAAAAAAATATATATTTGCACTGTAAAAACATATTGTTGGTTTAACTTAGAAAAATAAGTAACCCGGTTGCCTTAAAATTTTAAGTTCATTGAAATTGAAAAATTGAGTGAAGGAGATTAATTTAATCATCAGAAACTCAAAATATCATGTTATTTGAACTACATAAATTATCTAAGTTGATTTGACAAAAGAAAAAATGTTGTAATTACAAATTATGAAAATGTTTTATATGTCAACATGAGTTTATTACAGATTATTTAAAATGAAAAATAAACATTTGTATTAATAATAAAATATAATATAAATTTTAATCTCTCTCAATCAAGTTTAACATAGTGATTAAATAAAAAGCACCTTACCTTAACACATTCATTTTCTCAAAAGTTTCATTACATGTGAACCAGCTAGAAGGATCTTTTTCCCAGCTTCTCACGATACAGAGTGTCATAATAAATGCTCGAGTGTCATTTGTACTCGAATTAGGAGGACAGAAAATCCCCTTTCTTTTTTCTGAGGTCAGAACGAATTGATCATGTTTAGCATGCAAAATAAATTGATCCGCTTGCATATATCTGAAAGGCCATGCTGCTAAATAAAGCGGTGTGTGTGACCTATACTGGCTACACTCACTGAACATATTCCAGGAAACTCTTACACAAAATGATCCCCACCAGCAAAATGTTTCACTTGATTTTAAAGAACTCTCCATCCTTATAACACTAAATCAATAGCGCTATTTCTTTGTCAAAGGCACTGCTGTTTTATTTCACATAAACATCCTTTGGTAACCACAGTAGATTTGAGTGAACCATTAAATGGCCAAAAACTACACACCAATGCCTGTTCGATCTTTAATGATGGGAAACTCTTCAATTTTTCATCTTAAAAAAAAAATCAGGTAGTTTCCAGCCAAGCCGGAGGAGCACCTGTGTCCAAACCTGGGGTTCTCCCATCACCTGATAGCACATGATCTGCTAGGACATGACTGGAACATTTGAGGATCACTGACAGTGACACCCTTGACAGTGACCAACGGGAGATAGAATGATCCAGATCTCTTTTTCAGTGGGCTTCCCCTACATTCCCAATTCTCTGCAGATAAGAGCACTCAAATTCAATTATTATTAACAAAAATATTGGTTACACTTTATTTTAAATGTGTCATACACATTAGTCTACTACATTTTCTTAATAACAGTAAATGATGTATTACTACAAGTAACTTAACCAAAAACGTACCGTAACTCAAGTAAGACGGCTACAATGTAACTACGTCACCTTAAAATAAAGGGTTACACTTTTATTTTAAGGTGTCCACTGTTCATGTTACAGTGTAATTATTTAAGTACTGAGTAATAATAATTAACTACATATTGGGGATTGGTTTAGGGTTAATAACATGCAATTATGCATAATTTGTAGTTATTACTAAAGTAGGCTATATGTAACGTAACAAGGAAAAGTGTAACCAAATAAAGTGTAACAAAAATGTTTTAAAAATGTTATGTTTTTTTCCCCATTATTTTTCTATATATGCCTGCCTTAAGGGGGTCCCTCAGTCTTTTTTTAAGTGGGTCGCTCACTAGTGGATCCATTTCGACAAATTCCTACGCTTATTACATTAGCTTCCCACTAGATGGCAGGACAATTCAAATCAACGTTCATTGTTTGTCACGAGTCACCAAAATGTGCCTGAAGGCTCCTTACTTGAGCAGAACCACATTAAAACCCAGCCATTACTTCCTGTTTTGGCAGACAGAACTCCTCAACAATTTTCATTGTTTGTTTCTGTTGCCATCCCAGAGTCGTGATTATCCCAATCACAGCTGAACGTCCAGCAGCCTTCGGCGGATTCTCACCTCATGAGGCTAAACACTACTTGTGTTTGCATTGAGCTCGCGACAGCTGCTAGCGATTCACAGCTATTTATATAGGCATTGTGTCAACATTGGTTTTGCTCAAATTCTAAAGTTTTACCGCACATGCGTTACCGTGGTTAGTGATGCACAAGCAATAAACACAGCTTATCACTAAACCAAATAGCTTTCTCATACCATCACACTCATTTAAGGGAAAGAAATTGTTTCATACAAACAAGCTTTATTTACAGTAATGGGTGGAGAAAATCACTATTCGTGTATCAGAACATTGATTTTTCAATCACTTTATACATTATGTTTGTGAAATGTTCTGCTCCAGTCAGACTGACTTGGCACAAAAAGGCACGATAAATAACAAAAAAAAAAAGATTAACAAATAGTTTTTAAAAAAAATATAAACACCACAAATCAACATCCCCATTTGTCATTTCCATTTTACTAACTAGTCTGAGATTTAACAACACCATACAATGGATTTTGCCATGAGGTACAGGACGATAGCTCAGTTTCAGAGAAGAGAAAGGGACAACGAAAAACATCAAGCTTTTGTTGTGGTGGCTACATTGGCCTGAGTTTGGCTTCATGTCCAAAGCACCACCTTCCAACAAACAAATTTAAGTTCTGGGAACGTTCTGGGAATGTTAGTTTTTGGTTTCCAAAACGTTCCTAGAACTTTCCCTTAAGGTTAAGGGAACGTTCCCGGAACATTCTCCTTACGTTATAAAAATGGAACCTAAAAATAACCTTCATGGATTGTTCCTATAAAGTTCTTGTTTGGTTCCCAAAAAATAACCTCATGGGACCATTCGGTAACGTTAGGGAAACGTTCTGTGTTTGCTGGGCTTTTATTCTGAAATCAATGTTCTGGACTTTTACTGTCATCAGATCATTAGCATCCGCACCATAGAAATCCTCCCAAAGCTGACAAGTACCTAATTTATACTATATAAATACATAGGTCAACAAATGCATAGCATTTTTTTTTTCATGAAACAGCACTCATACGGAGAACATTAATCAATAATAATCATTTAAAAAAGTCCATTCCTGTCCAGTAGGAAATGTTTGCACCTTTTTTTATTTCTGCCAGGACCAGTCGTTAGTCATTTCCTGTACAGGCAGGTGTTTTTCCATGTGTCCGTTTGTGCTCTTGGCCTGCGGTGTTGTGCTTGTGTTAGATTTGGGCTCACTTGGAAATCTGTCCTCATTAGATTGTTCCTGAACCGGGCAGCTGAAGGGTTCGTCTGTCTCCCCGCTGCTGCCCAGTGATGTCTGACTGACGTAGACCACGATGACCTCACCGCTGAAGTTCATCACCTGCCCGCTGGAGATAAAAGTAGTGTTGTTGTTTCCTGTCACCTGACCTGACAAAAAATAGGCAATGCATCAGAACTGGTGTTAGCGGAAGATGGCAGAATAGTATGCAATATTTCCATGAACCAAATATTCATCCTTTTCCTGGAGACGACAAGTACCACTGATATACTATTATAGTTTTTGTTCATATTTTGAAGTGGATTTTATTTTTATATTTACTGAATTCATTTTTTTGTTGTAATTTAAGTACTTAAACAAAACTTATTTTATTTCACCAAATTTCTCATTTTTATTTGGTTTCATTTATATATATATATGAAGAGTTCAGATGCAAAAGCCTCTAAATGCCATTTGAAATTTTCTTCTAAAATGACCATTTTTATCAAGCTTGTATATTTAAGTTCAGTAATTTCACTTAAATTACAATTAATAGGTAATTATCATTGGCATTTAAGTGAAATTACTGAACTTAAATATACAAGCTTGATAAAAATGATCATTTTAGAAGAAAATTTCAAATGGCATTTAGAGGCTTTTGCATCTGAACTCTTCATATATATATATATATATATATATATATATACTGTATATATATAGTTGAACAAGAAAATTTTCAAGGCTAATCATTAATGTAACCATATTATTTAGAGATAAAAGGAAACGGCTTTGCAGTCTTGCTGATGTCTTGCGTGTGAATACGCTGCACTTCTACTTTAGATGTTTAGTGGTCTCCATAAATAGTCTACATTATAAACTGGAAGCTAATAATGCCACATAAGCACTGACATGGCAAAAAAAGCTGGTTTTGTGTCAATCCCTTTTGAGCAACGAACCAGCTTCCTTCCACTTAAAACTTCAACATGAGCAGATTATATGGTTCCTTTTTTTTTCTCCGAATATACACACAGACTATCACTGACTCACAATTCACACATCTTTTAGTCATTTGCTGCTATTCCATAATGGACCCTTACTCCCACTCTTTGCTGTGGCTGCCTGCCATGTTTTCACAAACACGACTTACTGGAATGCACATGACCTGAATGTGCTTGCTCTAATTATTAATACAAGATGTAATGCTTTATTTTATAGTGTTCAGGTTACTGTGTATTTACATAAGGAATTACTGAATAATACTAATGAGCTACACGTTTACATAGTGTACTTCCTTTGCAGAGATATAATTAATAACAATAGGATGGAATACGAGTAAAACAGACACTTTGAAATAACATTATTAAAATGTAAACATTCATTTTGCCAGTACTTATGATTATAAATCTAAATAATAAATTACATAAAATGTAAACAGTTTTTTATTGGGGGGGTTGGTCTTATGTTCACCAAGGCTGCAGTTTTTTAAAATAAAAAAACAAACAAACAATAAAAACAGTAATACTGTGAAATATATCACAATTTAAAATAACTGAACTTTTTTTTAATAAATAGATTTAAAAATGTTATTTATTCCTGTGGAATAATCCTGTTCGGGGATCGACTTATCGAGACTATTTTCTAAGATGGCTCCTGTCTGTATACACGAAGTAGACTGTTTTTATAAAATATCTTCTTATTAAACGGTCTGTACACTTACAAAGTTCTCAATGCTTCGTTTTGCATGTATGAACCCTTATTATGTCACTGTGTTAGTGTGGGGCTATTTTGAGCCTGGTTAGTGGTATTAACTAGCGATTTCTTTTTACTTAGTAAATGCCCCCAGTACTAGCATTATACGCTAAACAGTTTTTAGAGATACAACTCTTTACATTCGATTATTATGAAAACAAATCTCAGAGAACAGTTTACTAGGTACCTATGTTTTAAGCCAAGTTCACGCTACAGGATTTTAAGCCCGATTTATGCCCGATTTGCAAATCGTTAAACTCACCGACAGGTCAGGGTGTTATCGCGTGCAAATCGCGGGGGACTAGCGGACGATGAACGCCTGCCAATCTGTTAGTATGAAAGAGCCAACAACGCAGCGAAAAACGCTCGCAGACGCCTCGCCGAGCCCAGAAAAATATCTAGCCTGCTATCCAGAGCCGTCGCGCTACTCAACCTCAGTGATGTCATGAGTACAGCCAATCATAGCAACGCATGGGTTGAGGACACCAGGTAAATCTTAGTTTTTCTTTTTTTGCATTTTTTTCTCAGAGCAGATCGTTGCGCAAACAGTGTGTACACTAGTTTCTGTCTGTCTGTCTGTTTCTTCTCTTCGCTGGGTATAGGCGCACGTGCAGTTTCGCGTCATTTCTGGTTCGTTTCCTTGCTTGGTTTTTCGTTACAAAACATGGTTTGTAGACCAGATAGAATCGTTGGGTGACAGAGTTGTTGTCAACTCGTTATTTATTTGATTATTTTCAGGATTTAGACCATAACATAGTACTGAAACAGCTCTCATTAGAGTCAAAAATGATTTGCTCTTATCATCCGATCGTGGTTGTATCTCTATGTAGTGCGTTGTCAACTTGTGTAGTCAGTTACCTCCTGTTGTGGATCAATCACGTTGTGTTGTGTGGTGTGAACAGCTAAACAACTTGAACACTTCTGATTTCACTGAGAGCAAGTCATGTAGTGTGAACCGTTTTAAAATCATGTAGTGTGAACCACACAGGCTTTATTAGACCAGGTTCATTTTGCAGCTGAGTTCTCCTTTTAGGATCTCTCTCTCTCTCTCTCTCTCTCTCTCTCAAAGCACTTTTAAAGGTTTCACATACGGATCCAGTGATCTAGAAATGCAATAAAATGCACTACTGAGAGGTCATGACTTACCAATCTTTCATCATATCATACTGTTTTTGCCCAATTGGAATAGAATCGCACGACAGTGCTTGTAAATCTGGCATAGACGTGCCAAACGAGTTCAACAGAATCCTGTGTACTGGATATGACTAGCAACAGCTTCGAATACCTCAGATGCACAGACAACTTCTCATTTATTTTGAACGTGTTAATGTCTTACCAGATGTGAGGGCGGCATCTGAGCACTGGTTCTGGTACTCCACGTCAGGGTCCGACAGTTTGTGGTCGTCGCTGTGGATCAGTGAAAGGCCCTGGTCATTAGCGCTGATGGACGGCAAAGGAGGAACGGTGGTGGAGTCTATGCTGCAGCAACAAGGTTCGTTCTGTCTGTACAGCCCCTCGGCCAAACCTCGGTCCCCGTAGACGCCTCTGATCTCCGACATGGCTTCTTTGCCAGCAGGGCTGCTGTAGTCCAGATAGAGTTCCTGCGAGCGCTGCAGATCCACATAATCGCATGCGGGCAGGCCGTCCAGCGAGCAGCTCTCACACAGCAGATGCTCTTTAAGGCCGATAACCTGCACGTGTCCTATGCCGTCCCCTGTCCTGCAGGAGGAGCACGACGCCAGGCCCGTGGCTACCAGCTGACTGCAGTCCTCGTTCTCTCCGACCTCGATGGGCTCCTTCATGGAAAGCACACAGCTGCAGGAGCTGCCTGACAGGGGGGACGACGGCCCGCATCCGGAGTCCACGCTGGAGCTCCCCGACGAGGTTTCGGCTCGGTCCTGCTCCTGGTCCGTGCAATCTGACATTTCTAAGATGGTTAATTTGGTGCTGGGACACATGATCAGGGACTCCGGGGGGCTTCTTTCTTGGCAGATTAAAGGGTGGGTTTGTAGACCGTTTCTAATGTGATATGAAGTTGTCACAGTTTCCTACAAGCAAGCAGGATTGGTAAGTCTCTATGCATAGCTAGGTTTTGAAACAAGTTTTGAGATATTATTACTTACCTGTCGATTCCTACTTCCTTTTAGGTTTTGAACGCAGGTGCGTAGATTTACTGTGGAGTCAGAGAATACGCTTTAATTAACAAGATAGACAGGAATCTACCACAAATTGTAGCAAACAAACATGATCCTCCTGAACAACATTTACCTGAGAGGAAGTTCAGCTTATCTTTGCAGCAAAACAAGAAGAGAACGACCAGAGATACCACGATGATGACTAAGAGGATGGCCACAAGCACCCAGGGTGTCATACCTGAGGATTTATTCGTTACATAGAGGGCTTAGTAAAGTTTGCCTCTGTTGCTTAATCACATTTATTGCTCTTGGATGAGAGGCGAAACTGCTTGAGCAACAAAGAAACACATCCAGACTAATCCTACCAGACATTACAGATATCAGGTTCCTAGACATTTTTAGCTATTTTTAACCAATTACATTGACTTTTATAGTAATGTAACATTGCCAGATTTGAAGGAATGGGGGAGAGGTCGGGTTATAACCTACCGGGAGAATGGAGTCCACACACTACATCTGTCTTAGTGCTTCCTGGCTGTTTTTCAGTCTTGCCAATAGCTTTACAACTGGAAGAGAATCAGACATATCAATACAAGACAGCCCAATGGCCTGGTCACTTCTGGTTTGATCTGTCTCAATTTTCTCCTCTAAGAGGAACCACAAATGAAAGGAAGAAAAGGGGCTCTTTCTAGGGGAAGTGGTGGAGGAATTAATCATAACACAAGAGTGCGGTAAGACTGCGGGGGCTTTAAAAAATGACAGAGCATGCCTGAGACCTTCCCCAGACAAACAACGCCTGTGAGAATGAGAACTGTGACTTTGCAAATGAGGCCTGTTAAAGCATAGATCTGCATGTGTGACTCAGAGGACAGGCATCTTTGTGGCATACACTCCCAACTGTTGTCAAACCATTTGAGCTGTTATTGTCTCTTTTTAATAATAGCTGTTATTTGGCTTTTTAAGCTTAGATGTAGAGGCATACTCACTCTGTCCATTTCTTGCAGGATTCTATTGATATAGAGTCTGAGAAAAATCCAGGTAGGCAAGTCACACAGGAAGCTCTGCCAGTCTCTAAAATGAAGAGAGAATGATATAGGATTATAGACATACTTTCACCTAAATTAATTTGTGTGTTTGTAGTACAATACACAAAAACATAAAAATATCCTTTTCGCAACACAAACTGCCTTTCAAAAAGCTCTTACTTTCAAACTTTTGATTTGCATCTATTCTCGGTCAGTTCAATACATTTGTCTATTATTTAATCCAACTGAACATAATGGTTGATCAATGAATCATTTGGTACCACCTATATACACTCACCTAAAGGATTATTAGGAACACCTGTTCAATTTCTCATTAATGCAATTATCTAATCCAGTATTTCCCAACCCTGTTCCTGGCGGCACACCAACACTGCGCGTATTCTTTGTCTCCCTAATCAAACATACCTGATTCAACTCATCAGCTCATTAACCCATCTGATTATGAGCTGATGAGTTGAATCGGGTGTGTTTGATAAGGGAGACAAAGAATACGCGCACTGTTGGTGTGCCGCCAGAAACAGGGTTGGGAAATCAACCAATCACGTGGCAGTTGCTTCAATGCATTTAGCGGTGTGGTCCTGGTCAAGGCAATCTCCTGAACTCCAAACTGAATGTCAGAATGGGAAAGAAAGATGATTTAAGCAATTTTGAGCGTGGCATGGTTGTTGGTGCCAGACGGGCCGGTCTGAGTATTTCACAATCTGCTCAGTCACTGGGATTTTCACAGACGACCATTTTGTTTACAAAGAATGGTGTGAAAAGGGAAAAATATCCAGTATGCGGCAGTCCTGTGGGCGAAAATGCCTTGTTGGTGCTAGAGGTCAGAGTTGAATGGACCGACTGATTCAAGCTGATAGAAGAGCAACTTTGACTGAAATAACCACTCGTTACAACCGAGGTATGGAGCAAAGCATTTGTGAAGCCACAACACGCACAACCTTGAGGCGGATGGGCTACAACAGCAGAAGACCCCACCGGGTACCATTCACCCCCTCTCCAAATAGGAAAAAGAGGCTACAATTTGCAAGAGCTCACCAAAATTGGACAGTTGAAGACTGGAAAAATGTTGCCTGGTCTGATGAGTCTCGATTTCTCTTGAGACATTCAGATGGTAGAGTCAGAATTTGGCGTAAACAGAATGAGAACATGGATCCATCATGCGTTGTTACCACTGTGCAGGCTAGTGGTGGTGGTGTAATGGTGTGGGGATGTTTTCTTGGCACACTTTAGGCCCCTTAGTGCCAATTGGGCATCGTTTATATGCCACGGCCTACCTGAGCATTGTTTCTGACCATTTCCATCCCTTTATGGCCACCATGTACCCATCCTCTGATGGCTACTTCCAGCAGGATAATGCACCATGTTACAAAGCTCGAATAATTTCAAATTGGCTTTTTGAACATGACAATGAGTTGACTGTACTAAAATGGCCCCCACAGTCACCAGATCTCAACCCAATAGAGCAACTTTGGGATGTGGTGGAACGGGAGCTTCGTGCCCTGGATGTGCATCCCACAAATCTCCATCAACTGCAAGATGCTATCCCTATCAATATGGGCCAACATTTCTAAAGAATGCTTTCAGCACCTTGTTGAATCAATGCCACGTAGAATTAAGGCACTTCTGAAGGCGAAAGGGGGTCAAACACAGTATTAGTATGGTGTTCCTAATAATCTTTTAGGTGAGTGTATTTCTAATCTATAGATATTGACAGTTTCAGCATGCTGAGACAGTTCTATAGACAGTTTCTATAGAAGAGAGATTGATTGATTCATTCAGATTGATCAGAGATGCATCAAGGGAGACAGCATTTTAAATTACAGTATGTATGCCATGTAATACTGTAAACAGATTATCATGGTAGAGATTGCCACATTACCGTAACTCTCCCCTATTAAGGTCAACTACAATATAGATTCAGTCATATGGGACATTGAGAGCATTTACTGTACTGCCAGCAAACTCTGTTCTAGCACAAAACTTCATGGCGGTTTAATAACTTCAACGCACCATTTGATAACACACTAGATAGATACTATTACAAATATTATGGATTCAATTACATAAGTTAGGTAATGTAAGTGGATTTTCGAATGTGGCTTCTGTAATCTATATTACAGTAATTATTTCACCAACAAGGGTGATTTGAAACATGTACTGTATCTTGCGTTGTCTACTGTTGAATTAAGTTATTGTTAAAACAATTAAATTTAAAGATCACTGTTGTGTTTTGGGTGTTTAAACCAAATGTTCTCCTTACATATTACAATAATGAACTGAAATGTGTATAACAGTAATGAAAGCATAGGATCAGTGTGGCGAGCAGGACGAGCTCGAGGGCCGTTAGAGAACGGCGTGAGGCCGGTGTCTCATATCTCGCACCGTCGCAGGGAGGAGCGACGACAGTTAAGATCGAGAGGCAGGTGCGTCTCACAGGTGTCGTTCGTCATTAATCACGCCACCGGCCTCGCGCCGCTCTCTCACGGCCTTCTGCCAAGCCCTGCTCACCACAATCAGGTTTTGAAATAAGTACTATCTGTGTTACAGTAAAAGTGAGATTTTTGTACAAAGAGTTTTGAAAATGTACAGCTCACTTGTGAAAATAATACCAAAGCCGAAAAAAAAAGCTGTAGCTTTATTTCCTTTTTATTTTTCAAACTCATTTTCTTCTCATTTGTATTTCTGTTTTTAGCATCTTATTTACTTCCTGTTGTATAGTTTTGTATAATATTGCATTGTCCAATGTCCTGTTCAATTTTGTTCTATAAGCAGATACATAAATAGACAGATGGATGAATGGATGGATGAATAGATAAATAGACAGCTCCTAGCTAGCTTAGATAGATAGATAGATAGATATAGATAGATAGATAGATAGATAGATAGATAGATAGATAGATAGATAGATGGATAGATAGATAGAGTAAATAGAGTAAATGTCAAGATACTAATGATGAAATGTAAAGTACAGTGTGTCCACATTCATTTCTGAGAACTGTATTATGATGTTCCTTTCCATTTGGCACTAAACCTTGTGCTCCAAACCACAGAACTGGAACAACCATTGATTTACTGCACTCTCAATTACGGGTATACTTCATCTATCTGTCTCCCACTTTAAACTTCGGAATGAACTTACTAAAGTATAGTTCACCATAAAATGAAATTTCTGTCATAATTTTCACACCTTCCATGTTTTTCATGTCATGAACTATCCCTTTATGATTCGCCTGAATAAGAATCATTCTCATTTGCCCATAAACATGTTCCTGATGAACTTTGTGTAGAGTGCCCACAAGCTCTTACCACCCATCACGACTCCTTCTCCCGCAGGACAGTTTTTGATGGACTCACAGTACTCGCAGTTGATCAGAGAGCAGTGGAAGCCCTGCTTGCACTGACACGGTTCCGCCGCGGTGAGGTTGGGTGGAAGGGTGCGGTTAAATCCTTTACCTGCAGAGGAAGATCGATGGCAGGTGTTAAGAAATAATGCCAAATCAAACATTATAGCTACTCTTTCTTTACACGCATTATGTGACACTGACCCTCATCGCAGAACTTCTGAGGAATACACTTAGTGTCACTGTTCCAGTCCGGCTGGTACTGATCATGGGCACAATCACGGCACTTTGTCGGACTCCCGTCACAATGGGAAAAAAGGTATTTTCCTGCATGCAATGGAAAATCTTACTGAATTTGCAAAAGGTCAGTTAATACATATTGCTATCCTATATTTTTTTGGTAGAAGGAAGTCATGGTAGGTTATAGTTATTGTGGGTGTGTGAAGGCATCTTCCTCTTTCTCTCATCCTTCTGCTTTTCAAATGGGAAAAACCAGTCAGTTTTGACCTGATCTTGTTTTTCCCAGACAACCAGCTTCACTCACACCATAAAATGAACGAATGACTAAACGGATGGGTTGTTTTTGAAGTGTTCTTGATAGTATAATTAACTAGTCTGTATTACTACTCACCTGGTTCACATTTTTGGCAGCATCCCCCATTGTGCTCGTACTCGTTCGGTTGGCAGATTATGGCCAGTCCTGCCTGAAATGAAATGATTGCTCTTGTATTATAAAATTCTTGTGATGTTCATAATTTGTAAGTCAGTTTGCATAAAAGCATTTGCTGAATGAAGTCACATCAACAGCAACAAAGATGACTACAATATCACAGTAAGATATTAATACGATAAGGTCACCCATAGGAGGTTTTTATATATTTTTTTTATGTTTACCATGAAGGAGAGGTAGTCAAAATATGAGTAAATTTTGTCAAAAGATCAGATCTGGTGTCATCGCAACAACTTAAAGAATAATTTGTTAAAATATTAATAATGCAATAATCAAAATCTGTCTATTTTATATTACATTTACACTACCTGTCAAAATGAATGAATTATTTTTTTTTTTTAGAAATAAATTAATACTTCAGCATAAGGGATGTCTTTCAAAAACAATTTTTTAAGAATGGTAGTGTATTTTTTTTGCTGATTTTAAACAAAAAGCAATCTTCAATTTTACATAAAGTAACTTCAACATAAAGTAATTTCCCGTCAAGTTTGATTTTAATTTTGAACAGTCTGTTTATTATTGTACTATTGTGAAATGGGCCTTCTTGAAAACAAAAAAATAATAATAATAATTGATGCAATGGAATTCAGGCATTTTGTCTTGTGTCTTAAGCATTCAAATACTTTTTTAGGGTCATTGTATCTCTGGTCCGTTGGGTGATTTACAAAAACTACACAAAGTTTGGCATGTTGAAACATTGGCTCTCGGAATGAAAATCTTCAAGGCATAATGATCATTTGAGTGGTAAAAGCATCAGGGAATGAAACAGAGTGGGGGAGTGTGTGTATGTGTATCTGTGTGTAAGTGTATGTGTGGAGGGGGTGTATTGCCCAATTCAGAGGAAGGAAAAAAACAAGAAAAAACAAAAAAAAACACCCACATCCCTCCAGATACCACAAAAGCATTCCACGGTTTAACAGCAGGGCAGAATTAAATGCAATCCTTTAATTCAGCGTAAATCTGAGAAAAACCGTCCGTAACTCATATAAAAGACAATAAAAAAGAAAATAGTGGCAAGCTCAGCATGCTGGGCTCTCGGCGAAGGTGGAAAGGACTTGGCTGAAGTATAGAAATAATGCTCAAATTCAACTATTTTGCACAGCACTGTAAATGCTTTCAAATCAGCACCATTGGCAAAGTCTTTGTTTTCTGTTTTCTAGCTAACATATACAATATATATTTTAAAATGCGAGAAATGGAAGAGTATTTTTTTTGGGGACTATAGAAGATGATTTATGAAATATGAATGCTTTCTTTTTTCTCTCTAATTTTCATATGTGACCAGGATCAATGGATTTATCCATCATTAAAAAAAAATCCATGGATATCATGGAAATTCATGGGGAAATAATCCTTATCAGATTTTTTGATGACAACAAAGCGTTTGTCAAAACAAGTGACTAGTGCAGTTCACAAAATATATAACAAAAAATCAGGAAGGAAAACCCAAATGTATTCAAATGATGAAACAGGTTGTCCTTTTACATGAAACAATGATGTTTGCTGTGTGTCTAATGAAAATCATGAAATGAAACATGTATACTTGAAAATAATCTCCTTTTTGTTTTTGTTAAGACGTTGATCGTAGTTAGAGATGTTATTCTGAGGGTTTTTCTACCACTGCTGAAAAACCTAAAGGCCTTTTGATGGATGAATGTGAAAAAACACAGGAAACCAAAGGAATGTTTACAGTTCATTTCTGAACCTACATTTGAATGTAAGGCTATACTCAGGCAACACAACATATTTTCATTGACTAAATATATAAGACCATGGTCAGTGACGCCCTGAAAAATTACATGTTAGAAAATATACACCGGACATGGAGAAATCTTTTCTCCCAAGGTCTCACCATTTTGAGCTTCATATGGCAAAAGCGCTATAGAGTTCACTACAGTTCTATTGATTCAGTTGCTTTCCTTTGCATTCATTCTGTTTGTGAATGGAAAAGATGACGATGAGGTAACAAACGTAAAGCTATGCTGTGTTAAAATAAATAAATCAAATCAAATCAAGTCAAAAACGCTGAATCTGAAAAAAATTATTCTCCCTATGGAAGGTTGAAAGAGGAAGCACCGTTTCAAGATCATTTTCTTTGACAACTCAACAACCTGGTAAACACAAGTTCAGGCCTGCGTGTGATGCAACAGAAAACATGTTAAAACTTTTGACCTGACAGGACATTAGACAACTAAGAAAGACATTTGAATGAATGAATGAATGAAAATGGGCATTGACAAAATAATATGTATCAGTAAACTTTGCTCATTTCACAAACCAGAAATATGTATAAACAAAATCCTATAAGGGATTTTCTTAAGGTTTACATGGGGAAAAAACATTTCACTGCATCCTGCAGGCTAATTAAATCAAAAAGGTTATATGTAAATGCAGTTTGGAGTTTTACACAATTCCTGGGAATGTAATGATAATTTACATTTGATAAGCATCAACATTTGGCTGAAAAATCCAATGATTCCTTATAAACAAAAAACACACACATTTGCACTTATGGTTAAGAAGACCATCCAAAACAATGAAAAAAAGCAGAAATATTTACATGGAGTTCCCCTCAAAGTGTGCAACGATTCATGGAAATCTAATATCTGACTGAAATCTGCTCATGACAGGGAAGGAAAGAGTTTGGATGCATCTCAAAACCCAGTGAGCGGATAGTAGGGTACATTTTTAGGCAGTGTGAGCCAAGTGAGCCAGTCCTAAAAATGTCTTGTATGTCTATTCAATTTTGAGACACAGACTGCTCAGTGATGGGATATCCCAAAAAACAAGATGTAAACTAAATTTCGATCCTCTAATAATGAAAACCCAAAGGAAACTCAATTATTGGCTGCAGAGAGACTTGTCGATAAGAGGATGAATTCTACTCTCACTTTTAAAATTAACTGGCCAAAAAATTCCCTTAATAACCCCTCTTCACTTTGGAATATTATCCCTAATTATATTTTCTTTAAGTAGGTGGCCTGAATCACTGTCAAACTCTAATTTTTGTAAGCAGATGCTCTTGGCATGGTACCTAATATACAAACAAAACTGTTCCCCAGATATTACAGATATTACTTATGGAACAATAAGGATATTCTCAACAAGAATAAATCACTTTTTTGACAACTGGCTCAAAAACAACCTTCACAGGGCAGACTTTATAACTATTTTTTTACAGAAATATAAAACTCCTATAACTGCTATTGTTTTCAATGCAATTCCTTCTGGAGAGTCTTTTCTGTTGCATATAAAATCAGAGCTCTCTTCCAGAAAGAGATAATGACAATTCCCTATGTAATAACACACTGGAATAATATAGTAGATAATTTACCATGGGGAAATATGGTCTTTGTCTCATCTGCTTACTAATAAAGTAAAAGAAATAACATTTAAATTAATTCACAAATGTTACCCAACCAAAGCCTTTAGGAAATAAGTCAGACATTGAAGTGAATTGCTGTTTTTGACACTCTCCTGAGGAAAAAGTTCATTCACTTGTGTTGGCAATGTACTCACACAAAGAAATTTTGGTCTGATCTTATTTTGTAAGTGACTTTTCTTTCAGTTTTAAAGATGTTTTCTTTGGTTTGTTTGAGAGAAAACATGACAAAATATTACATCAAATATGTGTTTCCTTCTAGCTAAATTTCACATAAGCAAAAATGTACTGGTTCTGAACCTCTCTTTTCTCTATTCAAAGATTATTTAGACAAATACATGAAAAATATCCAAAGCTCTGGTAATCCCAAAGCATTGAAAACTGTATCTCTATATCCATCCCTTTTGTCCCTAGGTAAATGCATTGCTCTTGTTTTTTGCAACTGTGTTTTTGTGTCTGAATCTTTTTGTCCCTTTTCCCATGGTTATCTGTATTGCTTTAATACTTAGTAATGTTGGATAAAAATAAATAAATACATAAATAAATAAAAAGTGATGGGATATTCAACTCAGCGAAACGGTTCTTTCAAACAGTTCATGAACCGGTTAAAAACAAAACGATTCATTAATTATCTTGACATCATTTGGGCTTCACTTATGTGTGCTAAATTTGTTGCAGCCATAATCTTGAAAATTAAACATAATAACCAAAAAAGCCCCCTCCAAAAAACTTAGCATACTGTTCGTCCCATCCCAGTGCTCTTACATTACCGAATCTCGGCTCATTAATACAAACTAACGTTAGGCATTTTCGAAAGGCAGAGAATGTTTTGTTCTCTGTTCAACGAGCAGCTTTGAGTTGTTTACACAAGAACCGCTTGGATCGATTCAGTCAGATCGAACGAAGCGATTAGACCGGTTCTAAAGATTCACTGCAAAGGTCCGACTCAAAAGAACAACTCGTTCACGAATCACCAAATGTAACGTTACACAAACCATTTTCCCAACAAAGTGCTGAATTAGTTTAATAAGACAATTTGGTATTGTGACGATGAGGATGGACTACACCAAGAATTTTCCAGTAAAAGAGTGAAAAATAATACTTTCCCGGTCATTAAAAAAATCTCGGTTTCGCCTATAACAGCCTAATCCCGTGCAATTGAAAAATAAAGTTTGGTTTACAGGAATCATCCGCAAAAACATACCTGCGTGCATAGAGCGAGGACGAAGTGTGTGATCCATCCCTGAAATATCCAACTAGCTGAAAAATTGACTCTCATTATTCTAAACTTTAAAACAGAACTCTGTAATCTCAGCTTCACTATTGTGGTATTGTCCAGTGAGGATCAGCAGCAGACGTCTGTGCGCTCCTGGATAAAGGGATGAAGCTCCAGACTGCTGTAGGTCATTCCCAGAGAGCATGTCCCATGATGTTCACTCACTCACACACGCCTCGACTGCTGCTCTCCTTGTGTTTCCACTGCACAACTGTCATGTGGAAGCTGCTCAGTTTCACGCTCCTCCCAGTTCTCGTAATCAAAGTACTCCACATATTAACGGGGTGACGTTCATAACAGCCAGACAATCACGACTGCACTTTATTTCACAGTACGTCCACTTACAGTGTAGACATACTGTGTATGTGCCCAGTGTAGACGTAGCCTACTGGGCAATATAAGATAACTACATAAGGTTAGTTTAGGGGTAGGTTGGGATTCCACTAGACTAGGCCTGTAATCATAGCCAATGGTAGCTACTGTAAAATAAAGTGCTGCCACAATCAATATGACAATAATCTGTCATTATTTTTCAATTCAGCACTTTGGTGCAGTGAAGATGAAATAAATTACTTTTGAAGTCGTAAGGTAGCGTGAAAACCCCATAAGATATCTATTTAGTGAAAGCTATTGAAATAATCACGTTGGTCCACTTTGGAAAACGTGATGTCACGGTTTAAAGGGTTAGTTCATCCAAAAATGAAAATTCTGTCAGTATTTACTCACCCTCATGTTGTTCCAACCCCGTAAGACCTTCGTTCATCTTCGGAACACAAATTAAGATATTTAAGATATTAAGATCGCTCCTGCATACAGTCCATAGGCTTCTTGAGGGACTGGCTCTTGCTGTCCTCGAAAAGTCATTAAAGACATCGTTAAAATAGTCCAAGTGACTACAGGGGCTCAATCTTAAGTTTATCAAACGACGAGAACACTTTTGTGCGCAAAAAAACAACAAAAATAACGACTTTATTTCAACTATTCGTTTATTTCTCCCTCTGCGCGAGTCAGGTTACTAGTTTAATAGCGTAAGCTTCTGTTATTGTACGTCACACGCATCACACACACATGACCAGCGTCGGCCAATAGTGAGCCTACGTGTGACGTAGCTCTACGCAATCACACTACGTTAACTGACTTACAGGCTCATGGAGAAGGAAGTGAATAGTTGAAATAAAGTCGTTATTTTTGTTGTTTTTTTGCGCACAAAAGTGTTCTCGTCGTTTGATAAACTTAAGATTGAGCCCCTGTTTGCGTTAATACGTTCCAGTGGAGCTACCCAGATGTTGACTCGCCTCTGCCATTACGACCTATTGGTTTTCATTAACCGAGAAAAATGGAATTTTGTTTTATTGACGATCGCTGAGAAATGTTCTATTATTTAAAATGCAAAAAACATATTATTTTCAAGGTGAAAATGATTCATTTGCCTTGATCCACGCCAAAAAACGTCTAAATGTCACGTTTTTATAAATGAAGTAGCCTAATGAGTAAAATGTCTATTTTTCCGGCGTCCCCCAGCTCCTCGTTTAAGCAAAAAGTACGCTAAAACAACATACATCGACGTTAAACCACTTTAATCGTGTTAACCATAACCTTTTAAATACAAGTATTTCACGTCTTGTCGTGATACCGGGTTGCTACAGCTCAGTGCTGGAATGCTCACTTGACTTGCCATCCATTTCCAGTGGGGTGAGTGAACCTAAAATAAAATCAGCCATGATTTCTGACATCTATTTCTAAATATTAAAACGTGTTATGCAAAATAGGATTACAAATAAAACATACAATCTAATAACTTGCTGTTTGAAAATATGGGAGTATATACTGTGCATGAGCAAGTATTCCATTTTGAACACACTAAAAATGACACGATCAAGTTATGACATTGTAGGTTTTTATTGCACGCAATTTTCAATTTTTTTTGTGTGTGATATTCAAGATTAAACTAATTTTGAAGTCGTTTTAATGTAATTTAAGTTGACAATTACTTTTTTTTGGTTGATTCATTTGGTTGATTCAACGAACAAAATGAACGAATTGACTCGGAAAAAGATTCGTTCATTTTGGTGAACGAGTTCGAACGGGAGAGTCACAAACTCGCATCACAGAACAGAGCAAGGCGAGCATTTGTGCTTATAAAACTTGAAGTTTGTTATTTATTTTTTAAATGACCGCTCGTTTTGCTAGATAAGACCCTTCATCGTCTGGTGTCGTTCAAAGCCCTTTGAAGCTGTACTGAAACTCTCATTTGGACCTTGAACCATTTGGTTCCCAATGAAGTCCATTATGTGGAGAAAATCCTGAAATGTTTTCATCAAAAACCTTCATTTCTTTTCGACTGAAAAAAGAATGATATGGACATCTTGGATGACATGGGGGTGAGTGAATTATCAGCAAAAGTTTTTTTTTTTTTTTAAAGTGAACTGCTCCTTTAAGGTAAACAAATAAAAAAGCACTCATCCCCCACTACACAGATTTTCATCCATGTTAGGTTGGCAGAACTGAAGTGTGATTATTTTATTGATTATACAAATACCAGCTTTGTTTTTAGACTACTTGAATGTGCAAGGCTTCTGGTGTCGTTATTTGAGTTGTACAAACAGTTACTGTATATATGCTGCTTGATACTGCAAAGTGCATACTGGTATTTATTATTGTAATTTATTATCACAATCATTAATACACTGGTTTGTAGCGCACACAAGAAATTTGTCATTTACTGTGTTTAAGAGAAACTTCATATTTTGTAGGCTCCTGCTTTTTCCATTAATGTCAGCAAATAAACCTTATAATTTCCCTCAAACTCACTTGCTAATATTCAAGAGTATAAATCCTGTTTCTGACACCCGTGTAGAACTGATAAGGAAACTGTGCATGCACTGTTTCTCCAGATTGGTTTTATGGTCCCGGACCAGAGAGATACAATTCTTAGAGGAATAACATCTAAATAATACATGTTTCAGAATAAACTGATGGTCCACAAGTGTGTGGTCTCTCTGAACAGAATGTCACTCTATTTAATGCTGAACTGTGAGTTGTTTCCCTGTATTCTTATCTTGCTTAACTGTCAACTCGTAATTGCTCATTTGGCATCTGTCTTGGAGGGTAAATGGGGCAGATACACGTATAGCAATGCTATCGGGGCATAGGTGGGGTGTTTGAAACATTGCCAGAAGTTTCACTAAATCACCATCCTCTCGCTTTCAAGCACAAAGTTGCCTTGTCTGTTCCTTTAAACCCTCAGTGCCTGCTTTGAATAACAGTCATCAGTAAAGCTCAAGGGCATGTTTCGGCACCCGTGCACTCTCCTCCGCGCAGTCACCGCAGCACCCTGCATGCAAATCAGGTGTACTTGGTGTCCTCAATTCCTGGAGACCTTTCAAAGCTGCTGTCAGGCAGTCATAATAGACCGACTGTTCTAGCATGAAAACAAAAACAACACAAAACCAACCCAACCTGCTGTGAATATGTTATGATTTTTTTATTCAAATTCATTCGGATAATTTGGAGGGGGCATACTCAAGAAAAGTCAGGGTGATGGATGATATCCTGATATATTTTTTATATAAAAAAGTCTCTTTTAAGAAATGAAATACTTTGAAATAAAACCGTAAAAAGCACTAATTTTCCATCATTTGTAAAAAAAAAAAAAAAAAAAAAAAATACTGGTTCTGGTTCTGTGGTGCAACCAATATAAATGTAAAGAACAGGAAATGACATCACTGAGAGGGAGTCTCCAGACCCTTATGACAATAGCTTATGACTGTCAAGGTCAGTAAGTCTCTTAAAATCAAAATATGGAAGAGATTTCCACAACATTTGGACAAACTTCATATTTTGGTTAATCATAATTATGACAAACTTACAATTATTACATAAAATGTCAAACTATGACATGTCTTAATTAAGAGATAAGTGAAAATTTACAAATGGAAAAGTTGTCATAGTTGATGTAAAAGAACAAAATTAGACACCAAGTCAAAATTCTGAGAAAATATATATATATATATATATATATAACAAAAGTATAAGACACAGAGTAACAAATGAATTGAAATTATGAGATGTCGAAATTGAGATGTTTTGAAACAAGTAAATTATGACAAGTAATTACAACTTTGTCTTAATTATGTCTTCTGATTTTGACTTTTCAGAAAAAGTTCAACTTACACTATATAATAAAGACTTCATATAATTGTACTTTCATCAATTGATCTTTAGTTTTCTCATAATGCAAATGTTATGAAACTGCTCCGAGATACGGCAGGATCCAAAAGCAGTATTTATTAAAAGGGTAATCCACATCCATGCAAAGGTCATACACAAATAAACAAGCCAATCTATGACTGAGATAAGGCCAGATGTAAAGTGGGAAATCCAAAATCCAGGCAAAGGTTGATGGGAAATGAAGTCTTTGGGCAAAAACTTGTTCGGGAAGAGGGAACACCTTAATGGCTTCTAATGCGACGTTCATTACAACCTGGAACTCTAACGGGGCAGCCATCTTGTGAGGAAACCACAAAGCTTGCAGGCACAGAAGTATTTATTAAAAGGTTAATCCACATGCATGCAAAGGTCACACAAATAAACAAACCAAACAATGACTAAGATAAGGGCAAAGGTAAACTTTGTAATCCAAAAAGGCCAGGCTGAGAATTATATACGAAAAAAAAAAAAAAAAAAAGACATGGGAAATCAGAATCCTTAGCCCAAAACATACACTTTAGGACAATAGGCTATAACGTCAACTAGTTTTCAGTCCATTGAGTGCAAGGATAAATACCAAATACATTTCCAAATATACAAATAAAGTAAAATAAAGAGTATAACAGCTTATCTTGCCTCATGCGCTATTTTTCCTCCTCAGTTTCCCACAAATAAACAAGGAGTAAGCACCTTTGGCGTTAGAAAATTTTACAAAGGCGCGTGAGCCCCGTAAGGTCCGCCATGCTGGTTTGTTTACATCTAGGTAGTTTGGCGTGAATGACCTGGAATGCTACAAAGTCGTAAGTCGTGATTTACGTGTTCAAAAACCTGCCTGGAACGCAGCATAAGACATACAAAATCTAGCAGCACCTGATAGACCAGGCTTTATATGATGAGCTAATGAGACTAATGAGAAACAGCTGAAAACAATAATGGAAGATGAGGCCGGGGAATTGAAGTCGGTGATGCAGTGCCCCCTAGTGGCGCTCAAGGGCACTCCATC